CTGTGAACTGAATCAAGGTTTCAGAGTCAGAGCGCTCATTCACTGTTACATGACTGTCACTCTGGCTCCCACAACACCCTTCGTTCCCAGAGGGCCCTCTTTCTGGGTCAGCAAATGCTTACGACCTTTTGCATCTGACAATTGTGGCGAGCACAAGGCCACACCGAGGAAGGTGAGTGGCTCCAGAGACCCCAGCTCTTCCGTCCTGGACAGTCAACCTTGGAGATATGTCTGATGCTGCTCCCAGCATGAGCCGACTAAGGCAGGGCTCATCCAGGAGCCCGGCTGGGACCCAGCTGCTCAAGTAGTCTACAAAGGGCATCTACTGAAACGGGCTATAGCCCCAGAGAGGCCTGCCCGCCCACCACAGCCTGTCCAGACACGGGGCCACATGCTGCCAGAGTCAATAACTGTACCCATCATTTCCACCATGAGGACCTCCCAGGTTTGAAGCTGGTAGCTCCTCCGGCCACTGAGTAATCATGCTGCACACCTCAGACTTGCTCTCTAGTCTGTTCAGACGTGGGTACCTCTGGGGGGGAAGGGGCAGCAAGCCTGAGTTCTTAGAGGTCAGGCTCCACACTGAACCACGAGCCAGAAGGAGGGCAGAAAGCTGCTGGCACTTGACCCGTTTTCTATCAAGACTGTTTCTGGAATGAAAGCTTGGGTTCCCAATGTCAATTTCACCCAGCCCACGCCCTCATTACTTCACCACACACTGAACACATCTGGCACTAGAACTAACTACTTTCTGTTCTCTTTCTCGTCTGCCTCTGACATGTGGCTCAGCCAACTACAGCCCGCCTTGCTAATGTTCTGTTGTAACATGGCTACTTCACCCTTTTACCCGCTGCAAAGGCAGAGCTGTGGAATTGCAGCAGAGGCCTTCTGAGCTTTGGCTGAAAATCTAAAACATTGCCACACAAAATGCTGGCCATCCAGAAACATCTCATTCTTCCAGGCCCAGATGAACCAAACTCTGTCAGCTCCAACACTCAATACCCAGAACCCCGTGGTCTTTCCCAGTTAGGCCCTGCCATTGTATATGGGGTGCTGGACCTGCCTAATCTCACTGAAAATGGAAACTGGAATGTCATGGCTTAGATCTGCTAAGGAGTCTGGGGAGTACTGCCTGTCAAGTTCAGAGCAGCTACACAAGCCAGCTCAGGTGCACAGATACAGATAGGTGTCTTCTGGTGCTGAGACACCATAAGCTTCTGGTATTGAAGGGTACCTGATGCATACCAGAGTATGCAGTGCTCCCAGTAAGTACAGCTCTTCACAGAAAAGGGGAGGAACAAACAAACAAACAGCCATTATTCCCCTCTCTCTCTGAGGCTGTATACTCAGGAGGTAGATCAATGACCTGCCTTGGAGCTGGGACAAGAAGTCAATAATCGTGAGACACAGACTCAGTCTTGGCAGCCAAGACTCTGGGTTCACCTCAGAGGCTGTGAGTCGCTAAGTATATTCAACAAAGACTAAGAAGGGAGTAAACAGTGCAAACATCAGAAATAAAGAGCACCAAGAGTCTATCCTGTGTTAAGATGCAAATATAATCTTGAGGTATGTGGTGTGGGCAGCTGCTGAAGCACTCTGAGGTGAGGTGCACCTGAAACCTCCCCTCTCCCCTCTGCTGCAGTGAGCACAGGCCAGCTAATAACCACTTTCTGTCTTCAGGAATGTGGTCATGCCTGCAAGAACTCATGTGGATATATAGATTCCTTAGGACCTGGCAGAAAGGATGGACTCAGCAAGTGAAAGCGGTTTACACTGAGCAAGTGTGCCAAGCAGGTAAGACCTGGGCCAACCAGTTAGCCAAAGATAAGTAGAGAGTGGACAAGAACTCCTCACCACGGTCATAAGCAGTGTGCAGAGATGCGAGGTCATGTGAAACAGGAAGTCCCACCCTGTGCCAGGTTTGCACTTTTTTCAGCACTTAACCTCTAAGGTAGAAGAGCAGATGAGCCTCACAGCTGCATCCAGCTACAATTCACTGGACCGGCCTGAGCTGGTTCTGATCGGGAATGATCAGAAATCCTTACATAAGCATTTACTTTTTTAAAAAGGCTTTATCTCACCATCTGTGTTTAAACGACTTATCTAGATTTGTATCTACAGAAAGCGTTCTAAGCTTAGGAGAGCTGACTGCTGACTGTGCAGTGTGACCCGATGATGACACCCCTTCCAGTACACTCTGTGTGATGGTTTATTTTGCTTGTTGATGTGCCTGGATTGAGGGATGTTGTGCGATTAGTAGAGCGTGGCTGGGTGTGTCTGTGCAGGTATTTCTGAAGATGACTGGTGTGTGTCAGAACAACTCAGAGGAAGACTTGGCCTAAGTGTGAGCAGTACTCCAAGAGGCTGGGGGTGTGGGTGGAGCAGTCACACAAGAACAAAAGGTGGAAAAACCTTTAATCCTAGCAGCTCTCTGTGCTGAGGCCAGCCTACATAAGTGAATTCAGAGGCAGCCAGGGCTACAAAGTGAGATCCTATCATAGGGGGAAGTGTGCAGGGAAGGGGGAGCAGCCTGCAAGCAAGCCGTGTTCTACTGCTCCTGGGCAAGTGCGGTTACTGCTGCTGCCACCCACTGACACCAGACTCTAGCTCCTTCTCCAGGAGGACTCCAGACCTGCTGTTGCCACCCACTGACACCAGACTCTAGCTCCTTCTCCAGGAGGACTCCAGACCTGCTGCTGCAGACTAGGGCCACACCGTTGGTCTCCCTGAGGCTTCTGGCTTTGGGAACTGCACAGCTAGCAGACTTTCTGGCTCAAAGGTATGCAGATGGCAATTAAATCACCTAGGTTCCAATCATGCAAGACAATTTAATAGACCCCCCCCCCAATAATTATGGCATAGCCTGTTGGTTCTGTTCCTGTGGAGAAGTCAGATTAGCACTCTCAGCCACACAGCCTCTGGACGCTTCTAGTCGTGACTCCCCCACTCCCACTAAGCATCTTGCTTCTCCAGCACAGCAATCATTATCAGAAAAGTCTTTGTTCCCAAACCGTTCATGTTCTGCTTTAGTTGTAATTCCCAGCTAAATCTACCTAAAACATTCACCATTTAGGAGTAATGGTGCTATTGCATATGGAAGCTAGAGATGCCAAAACCTTCCAACAGTAACAACAGATTAGATTGAGCAGATTCATGAAATCAAGCTTATACTGATTACAGAAAAGTCATTTTCTGAACATTTCAGTTAGTACCACTGAGTGGAAAAATCAAAGCACTCATTTCTACAAAATCTGGCACCTTATAAAAGTTTGCATTTCTGAAGAACAAAAGACAAGAATGGAAGCCTCCTACATGTAACAAACTACCGATACTGGTCCTTCTTAGCACACCTGGCTTCCCGGTGCCTTCTGCCATTAACACACACACACACACACACACACACACACACACACACACAGAGTCAGATATTTCTTCTTCTGATGCATATCTGTGATGTGCCTTCCATATGCCACCCGAAACACAAAGTGGTCAGAATCAGCTCCTTTTTAGAAAGCGACACTCCAGACCTCAGCGGCATTTGGTGACCTGGGGCAGGCTGTATCTGATTGATGGCACTCTAGATCTCAGTGCACTGAGAAGGCTAGTACAGCCGTACCTGATTGATGGTCTTCTCCATTTGCACTAAGCCCAAGTTGGGTAGTGTGTTCTTTATGAAGTCCACTATGGTTTCCAGGTTCTCATGTTGCAGAATCAAGGGCTTATGGCTTCCCAAAAGACTTAAAGCCACTTTAAATATGACCTCTGATCCCTGAAGAAAGATCATATCTAAGAAGACACAGAAATGCAGAGTTAAGTCCTGCCAGCTCCTGACAATATACCACCCTCTTCTCTCTTCCTCACACTAACGAGTAGAAGGGTGGGAAATTGAATCCAAGTTACAAATTTTGTTTCCTTTTTAAGAGCCTGTTATTTCAGACAGAGTTGTCAAGACATTACTGGAAATGATAACAATTAAAAACAACAGATACATATATGGCTTAGGTTTTGTCACAGGTTCAGATAAAAAATTTCTACTCTGAAAAAAACAAATTGAAAAGATCTTCAAAAGTTGATAACATTTTTATTAGCTTATGATTTTTTCCATAAAAAAGATTTTAAAGGAGTTGACAAAACATGTTTTAAAAAGACTAGTTTTTAATTATGTATGTGTGTGTGTGTGTCTACGAGTATGTGGAGTGTGCACATCTATACACTCATGTGCATTTATAGAAGGCAGAAAAGGGTATCAAGTATCCTCCTCTTCTCCCTACATATTCCTTTGAGGAAAGGTCTCTCCCTGAAGCAAAGGCTCATGTTTTCCTGTCTAGGCTGGCAGCCAGCCTGAGAGATTCTCCTGTCCTGGTCCCCCTCAGGGTTACAAGCATGTCTGGGACACCCAGCTAGTTACTCCAGGACTCACGGCTGTGGAATAAGACCTCTTCACCACTGAACCGTCTCTCCAGCCACTGCAACGGGTTTTCAATTAGTAAAGCCTAAAGACTCTTGGAGATGGGGAATTATATTTTGAAATAAAAAGATAGAATGAAAAGATGTTTAAAGCTTTTAACAGGCATACAAAATTTCAAAAGCACACTGAACTTCATCAGAACAATGGCACCAAGAGCCATTCTTCTGTCTGAGGAATTTAAGTTGGGTGAGGCTACTCTCCAGTTCTTGCTGTGTTTTCTCATGATTGTTGGCAAGCCACAGCAATGCCTATGCTGAATTTATACAGTAGGATGAGGCAGTGGACAAAGCAACAAACTGGAACTGGAGGCAGTACAGATGGGCATCAGTGCCTGGGCTAGAACAGAAGAAAACTGGCTACTGGGTGTCTCGGCTCGGACACGTTTGACCTAGAATAAAGTGACTGTAATAGTGACTGGAATAAAGTGAAAAGAAAAAGGTGAAAGCAGAAGTATAAGTAAAACCAGGGCCAACTAATCAGTTTCTCTCCTTCTTTGACACTCCCCACCCGACCCTTGGCTGCGACACAGTAGAAAGGGTGAGGAAATGGCACCAGTGCAACTACGACACCAAGGCAAACCAAAGTCCTCCAGAGAAGAGTCCCCGAGATGCCCCTCCACGTGAGTCAGAATGACAGCACGGGAGATCTGTTCATAAACTGGAACAAAGCTGGACACCTCTGGAAAGGTGAGAAACTGAGTCAGGGCAGCATCTGGACAAGACACAGGAGAGAGGGCGCTGATCTGTAAGCTTACTCAGCAGGCTAGTCCTCAAGATATCTGAAACGTTTACTACGTCCCCGGTCACGTGACTGGAGTTGGTGCCAACTGGGACGGTCTGTGCTGGAAAATGAGGGCACCAAGTGCAGCCTGAGACTGCTGACCACATGCGGAGCCCTTAGCTACTGAAAACACCACACCTGCTCAGGGCTCAGGCTGGCCCTAGCCATGGGATGACCTGCTTCCTCCTCAGGGTTGGTTGTTGAGGCTCAGACAATAACTTCAAGATTGGCATGGCTTAGAGGAAGTATATCCACACCAAGGCTGTGTCACAGGAGAATCCGTGACATGCCTAGCTTGTGGAACACACACCCACATATAAACCTCACCATGGCAGGAAATGATAAGTTGGAGAATAGCGCTACAGGACTCATTTTTATTAATTTGTTAATTTTATTAATGTGTGTGTGTGTGTGCGCACACGCGCGCACACGCGCGTGCGTACACACACACACATGCCAGCCAGAAGAGGGCAACAGATCCATGGGAGCCGGAGTTACAGGTGGCTGTGAGCTGCCTGATATGGGTGCTGAGAACTGAACTCAAGGCCTCTGGAAAGCAGTAAGCTCTCTTTACTGTTGAGCCATCTCGCCAGCTCTTACAAGATGTATTTTAAACATAAATGTTTTGTAAAAGAACAATCAAAATGATAAAAGTTTTATGTACTCTGAAAAACGTTAAGCCTAATTTGTAAGTAACTGAAAAAAATGTTACCTACAACACAGCCCCTCTGTGCCAGCCCAGCTATTTCTATTCTGGTCATCTTCCCACGCTCACACATCTGCATTTGGGAATTAAAAAAGTCAACAACAGTAACTGTCCTTGGAAAGCCCCTGCAGGCAGTGACTGCTGCCTGGGTGGAGGTCCTGCCAAGCCGCAGCTGAGCTGGGGCACAGCTGCCCACTTCCCTTCCTTCGCTGCATTTTCCAGCCATTCAGAAACAGGCAGGAACTAGAGGGTGCCTTAAGTTCAGCTGACCCCACCGCAGTGCATAGGACTTGCTGAGAAGAACACAAATAACGACTTTCCCTTTGAAGACATTCCCACAGCTCTGGCTCTGTGCCCCGTCACACCTGGGACCTCTGTTTACAAGCCCATGATCTGCAAGTGCAATTTCCTTTGGTGACCTCATCTGGAATCTCTCTCAGCCACATGACTGCTGTCCAGGACAGCCCCACCCTCCCCTTAACGTTCTCCTAGGAGGTTGCAATCCTGTGGTCATAGCCTCTACCTTCCTAACACGAATGTGACAATCATCGTTCAGGCAGATTCTGCCAAGGCACACCGTTGCTACTATGTCATACTGCAGAGCCAGCGGTTCCCTGGCCATAGGACAACTCCCATTTCCTACTCTCTTTTCACTCTAAGGCTTCTGTGCCTTATGTCAAGCCCTCAGTTTTATGCTCCGCTTTTATCTCCTCAGCAGGGCATTCTATAGAAGGACGCAGAGCCGGACCCTGCAGCTGCCTCCTCTAGCAGGAAAGCCAGCTCCTGTTTCTCCCAAAGGCAGATGTGATCAGAAAGTGAAACAGATGTATTTTACTTTATATTGATGTGCCTGTGTGTGCAGGTGCTTATGAGGGTATCAGACCCGCTGGAGCCAGAACTACAGGTGGCTGTGAGCTGCTTGAGGAGGGTGCTGGTGTAAACACTGGGTCTCCAGCCTCCATCTTTGGAGGCCCTGTCCCTGTGCCCCTTGAATCTTGACCCCTCCCCAGGAAATGTCAAGACTACTCCCTCAGGCTATTTAAACTGCTCCCCCTAAAAATAAACACGTGGCTTTCCCCCTTTCCTCCAGTGGTCGTGTGTTGGCGCTTTCAGGTTCCCCTCGGGCCACCTGAGAGCGCGGGAGTCCAATTAAACCTGGATATCTTTTAATTTGGTCTGATTGGGATTATTTTGGGTCGGCAGAGAGCTCGTGTTAGAAAATATTCCTAACAGCTGGGAGCTGAACTCAGGCCCTCTGCAGGAGCAGCGTGTGCTTTTAATCTTGGAGCCATCTCTTCAGAGCCAGAGCACGTGTTTCAAGGTCCATGCTCCACTCAGACTACAATCATGCAGACCACGAGGTCCAGGACAGAGGACCACGTCTACCTCAGTATGCGCACCATGAGGTCACAGGATACACACTGGCAGCAGCTGTCCTCTCAAGCAGCACGTCCCTTTTTGACGGTGACCTATTAAATAATATGGGAGCTATGCTGGTGCAAGCTGGGAATCTCTTTACACTTGTTGTTTTTTTATTTAATGCATTTGTACGTGTGTGCCATGGCACTACTCATGGGAAAGCCACAGACAACTTGCAGGAGTCAGGTTTCTCCTTCCTCCACATGGGCTCTGGGGACTCAACCCATGTCATCAGGTTGGGTGACAAAAACCCTTAGTTGCTGAGTCATCTCACTGACAAACTGGAAACCTTTTACTCATGTATAAAAGAGAGTATCAACAAAGGCTCATTTGCTTTAAAATTTATCCAGGTTTAAAGGCTTAAAATGGGAAGAGGTCCCAGTCCAGAAAGGCCCAAGAGCCTGAACAGCATAACTATGCAGCTTAACTACTGCTCCGTATGGAGCTCAACTAGCTTGGTCCCCACCGCTATAAACGGAAATGGCCGTGAGAACGCTGCCTTTTCAGTGCGACCAACGGCTGAGCTGGACCACTGAGAAGTGAGCCAGCCAAAAACTCACTAGTACAACAGGGAGCTGTGGGACACAGGAATTTTGCAGACATTGGCATCTTTAGGCACACTGTATATAAAACTCCAAGACTCATCACTCCTTCAGAGAAAAACATCCTGTCTGAACTGGCTTCAGCTTTTATTATTAGACTTTAAGTCACGAGAATGTGCCGCACGGAGCACCAAATTATCCTGCAGAAGAAAGGCTCTCATCTCCAGGGAGGAGGCTGCTTGTTTTTCCTGCCCTTCACCAGCATAAGCAGCCTCATTTGGCTCTCCTAGGGACCAGAACTTTCTCTGCAGGTGGCAGCCCCAGTTTGGCCCCGGGCAGGAGTGCCTCACTCATCCCCCCCCTGTAGCAGAGTCTGTGGTCAGTTCAGCCCCCTTGGCAGAGTTTCTCCTACAAACCCTGGAATTCAACTTCTCAGCTGTTTTCACACTACCAACAAGGAGTTCTCCCCTCCCCCTGCTCAGTTCTAGTCCTCACACGACCCGCACAGCTAAAGGAGCGAGCGAGAAAAGGTGGGTGGAGCGGGGCACCCCCACCCCATGCCAATTTATAGGAAACTAAAGCTCAGTAAGTATTGGCAAGAAAGACTGAAGCCCACAGCTAGATACATCCTGGGATCCTTTTGTCAGTATAGCAAGCACCCAGCTTTGAGGCTTTTATTCTTTACATATGGTCTAAATGCCATGAAATCTCACAGCTGGCCAAACTGTAAGACAGCTTTTACTACCCATCTGACTTTAGTGAGCCACCCTCCCTCCCAACCCTGAACGCTAGAAAATAAGTCAAAAGAGTCACGCGGAAAGGAGTTGTTTTAAGGATACAGATCCCTGTCACAGAGGGAAAGTCTCCAAAGGTTCTTGTGGACAGACAGAAGGAAATAAAGGTAATAAATAGTTCAGCATTCTGCTGGGAGGTGAGGGGAGAGGAAACCAACACCCACTTAGCCTCAAAGACCAGCTTTAAGGGAAGGAGAGACAGCTCAGTGGTGGGGAGAGCTTGCTGTTCTTCTTCCAGAGGACCCAAGTTCAACTCAGAGCATCCACGTCGGGCCCTTCAGATTACCTGTAGCTACACTTTCAAAGGATAGGATACCCTCTTCTGGCCTCCTGGAAATTCCCCCCCCACACACACACACACATCTACTCACACAGGTACACACACATACACAAATAAAAATACATTTAAAAACCAAAAAGCTAGTTTCGTACTTTTAGGATGTAGAATCACATCTGTATAGTAGTGTACACGCAATGCAATGCTTCTGAACAGTCCCTCAAGACGCTCTCCGAGGGGCTGGAGAGATGTAAGTACTAGCCATGCAAGCATGAGGGACTGGGTTTGGAACCCTAGTGCCCACAAAACAGGGCATCAGGGGGCAAGCCTATAATCCCAGCTCTGGAGAGGGAGAGACAGGAGATTCTCTGAGGCTTCAATGAGAGACCTTGTCTCAAAAATAATATGGGGAGGGATAACGGAAGGTTACCAACCTCTGGCTGCCACATGAATGAGCATGCATGCATGCGCGCGCGCACACACACACACACACACACACACACACACACATATCCTCTTTGGCTCTGAAAAGAAATCTTTGAAATTATGAGATTACATGTGCTTCAAAGTAAAAGAGGTGACTAATGGGTGGGACTGTGTAGAGCAGGGTCTGACCTGCTCACCAGATGAGGACTCCTAGGCAACCAAGCCTGACTAGACAGTCACACAACCAACAACGACCACAGGCTGACAATACAAGCTGCTCACTGACAGGAGAATGCTGGCTGGCAGACACATGGAGGAAGCTCACCAAAGACCCTGGCGACAAAGCCGAGCGGGAACTGTGAGGCGAACACCGTGAGAAACCAGGGAGCCGCGTAGAGGCTGGGGCCGATCTCCTGCTCTTCCAGGTGGTTGTAGAGGTCTCTATGGTAGTCATGGAGGAGCCGCGACAGCTGGTACATCTGGATCTGCAGGAACACACATCCACAGGGCTGACAACTACGTACCTACCACTCGTCATCTCACAGGGTGGGAGGGGACTTTCTGCCCTGCTTGTCTTCTACTTGGCTGAGGGTATCCACTGACTTCAGTGACTAATGCATCCCTGGAGCTCTTGGGAAGAGGCTCACACGTGGTCAGTGGAAGAGCCCCAGTGCGATAACGTTGGGTCAGCTTCCACTTCCTTCTTTGTCCCCTTGTGTTCCTTGGCTAAGAGACCCTTAGATGTCTGCCTGTAAAAGCATCTCACGAATTCCCTTACAAATGCACATTCTTAGAAAAACTCCAATCAAGGGGAATATGAAACATAATGTTCCAGCTAGGTAGCAGCAAACCAACATCACCTTTACTATGGTTCTAGAGAGTAAATCCACTGTCTGCGCTCAACAGCCAGTTCCCTCTGGACTCCCAGAATCACTCCAGCAAACCAATTTCTTAGGTTTATTAACAAAGAAACACAGATTCTGAGCAACTTAAAACAAGAAATGCTTAAGATGAACAAAAAGAAAAACAAAAACTCCAAGCTAAAGTTCCACTCTGAGGTCAAAGGCCACTTCTTCAGAGAATGCTGCAGCTCTGGCAGGAAGCTTACCCCATTCTGTGTAGCCTGTGGCTCACACAGGACCTCAAGCAGACTAGAGCCTAAAGACAAAATAACTCAGAGAAGGCCAGAATCTGACATGAGGCACTGGGGTGGATATGTACGTTCGTAACTGGGAAAACTAAAATACAACTTAGATCATAAGTTTTCTTCAGCACCCTTCAAGCTTCTAAATGAAAAGCTGATTCTGCTAAAGCAGGAAAAAGCCTGTAGAGTAGGCTAAGTGCCGTAAAGCTGTGCCACTCCACTCTGGTGACAGCTGCCACACATAAAAGACAGTGTCGGGGCTTGCTTTTGTGAAGTTCATGTTCATAGGGTTCACAACTCCAGCAAGAGTCCAATGGACTTTCAATAACACACACTGGTGTTTTCAAACCAAGTCCTCAGTTCTGACGGTACATTTTAAAGCCCTCAAGTTATGGGAATTGCACAAATGAACAGGTCCCCCGACAGTTAAGCAGTGCTTAGGGACACCTCCAGATCAGGGCCCAGAGCTTTCTCCGCTTCTGGAAAACAACAAGTACAGTGCCTGTCAAGCTGGACACACTGCTGTGTCGCTTTCTCTCCTTCCTTCCTTTCCTCCCTCCCGGCCTGGAAGCTGGGGCTAGAACCCAGAACTTCACCACACGTTAGGAAAACACTCAACTGCTGAGCTACATCCCTAGACATTTTGTTTGTTTTTGAGACTGGGCCTCACTATGTAGCTCAGACTAAACTCATCCATACAGGCCAGGACAGCTTACAACTTTGGACTCTCCTGCCTCGGCCTCCTAAAACTGGGGCTTGGTTTTCTTTGGATAAACTTGTTCATTCACTGACAGGATTTCTATTCCATTCCCGGCACTGCTGGAATCTAGTGCACAACTCGACAGAATCTTTTCCTCTCACTAAGGAAATCAGGACACCAGACAGTAGGAAGTCAGCACTAAGGTGATTTATGGCAGGAAATGTGTTGTCCTGAAGGCATGGGACAAGACAGCATGAAATGGTATGTCTAGGATGAAGGGACGCAGGGTCAGTATAGGCAGGAAGAGCTTCTGTGATACAGTATATGACAGTGTAGCTGAACCCTAGATGGACAGGCAGTGGGGATGGAAAGAGGATCCCAGGCAGAGGATAGAGCAGATCACAGGCTTGGAGACACCAGTAACATTGCTAGGAAAGGAAGGGATAGGAGTTAAGGTCCTGGAGCCAGACAGGCCTGCATTTAAATTCCACCTCTGTCACTGGCTAGCTGCATGCCCTGGGCCAACTTCATATTCCTGTCTACAAGCTGACCCAATTAATAGCATCATCCGGAAAAGCATTATGGGAAGCACACAGATCAATGCCTAACACAGAGTGAGTTAGCGGCAGCCATCAGTGGAGAAGAACCTAGATCAGCCTAAGAGGAAGGATGCGTGTCTCCAGCATCTCTTTATTTACAGCACAGGGATGCCTGGTACCTGTAAAATAATCATGTCTGGCCGGTACTGTTTCCGCAGCCCCATGTCAAACATCAGGAACTTGAGCATCTTGAATGCCTCTTCCTCACTCATATGAAGAAGCAAAATGCCTGCCACAAAGCTGAGGCCTTGGCAGTATCCTACTTCCTGGTCCAGAAGCGAGTAGGCCTTCAGGATGTTATAAAGGGACAGCTGACCCGCTCCGAGCTGGGCAGAGAAGTATGGGTGGGTTGGAAATGTTCGCCCTGGGAAAAGAACATAGGTCAGGTATAGCATACACAGAACCATGGAACCAGAGAAGCAGCTGTAGGCCAAGGGTGTTAACATCTGTGTCCTCAGCACCACCTCTGCCCTGTGAACGTGGTCAGCTGGCAGTAGGTCCTAACATAACATCTGCAACAATAAACGGTAAGTTCGATAGCTCTGTTGTTGTGTTTAGTTTATTTGATTTTGAGACTGGGTCCCAGTTTACAGTTCTGGCTGGCCTAGAAGTTGTTTGCTGTGTAGACCAGGCTAGACTTTAATTCACCGAGAGTAGCTCATCCCCTCCCTCCCAGGCACTGGAATTAGAGGTGTGCACCACTGTGTCCAGTGAGTGGTGGTTTAGGTAGAGTAAGTTATAATTACCTTTTATCTAGTAAATATTTGTGTTTCAATCACATTTGGATTGAAACGAGAAGAAAGTCGCTAGTCCTGACAACAGAGCCCTACTTCTTAAGAGCACTGTTCTTTCTAGACATCAACCCTAGCCCGTGTCATTCATATACTGGGACAGATCTTTGCCACAAGCCTTTCTAGACCATGAGTTCTGTCCACAAGTGGGTCTCACCACGGGATTCTTCTATACTTTTAAACCAGAGGCTGAGATCTCATACAGGCCAAGGGATAGTAGGTATTCTCCTATACTCAAAACAGTGACCTTCTGAACAGGGGATAAAACAGGTCTTAAGATCATGGGGCTGGAGAGATGGTTTAGTGGTCATGAGCATTGGTGCTGTTTCAGATGACCCAGGTTTGATTCTCAGCACCAGCACCCACACAGCGCTTCCAACCACTTGTGGCTCCAGTTCCAGGAGACTTATCCAATACCCCCTCTGATCTCTATGGACACACATACACACAAATAAGTAAATACATTTTTTAAAAAAAGAAAGAACGAAAGAAAGAAAAATCATAACTATTTCCACAAAGTTGATACCGAAATCAAATGGGCCAGGGAGAGGCTCAGTGGGGCTTGTCGTCAAGCTGACAGCTGGATTGTGATCTCCAGGGACACACATGGCAGGAGAAGAAAACTAACTCTACAAGTTGTCCTCCAATCAACATGTGTGCTATGCCACAAGTGTGTGCACAAATAGGTAAAGCTGTCATAAATAAGTTTAAAATATAAAGTAAGTTTTAAAACCAACTTTTTTTGCCTTGTTTCATTCAGGAGTCTTTTACTGCTGATACCTGTGAAAGTCTCTTGTGACATCCTGGTGACAGATGGAGAGGAGGATTTCTAAGGAACAGTGACTAGAAAGCGACACATTAAAAAATTACAGAGGGGCACAGGACCAGGGTAGACACAGGTGAGATCCATGGCCTGGCTGGTCACCCGGGCCACAGCAACTGTTAGCCAGAGTTCCTGAGCATCAGCATCGGGGCAGGAGGACAAAGCCACAGGTTTGTCCTCAGCTTCTCTAGAAAGCACCTACTTCATCTTGATGAAACGTGGCTGAACCAGCCACAGGCTCCTGCTTTTCAATCGCTGTTCCCTTCCTGTCTCTTCTACCTCTTCCTCCAACACATTCCCCAAATACTCTGTGCAGTCACCCTACTGTTCAGGAGAAGTAAGCTGTGCACACAGAACAAACACTCCCCTCCATCAGTCTGGGTGCACACACTCGTTTCCTACTCCCAGATATGCCCTTTAGGCCCTTGAGACCTGGGAGGGAGATTCCCAGGGTCTCCAAGACCTTGTTCCACTGTGGACCCCACTGAAGGTGTGCACATGAGCAGAATAGGCAATTACTTTTGTTAAGCTCTGAGTGATGGGCGCATATGGCTATGCTGCAAGCTATAATGAGAATTTAACACTGCCTAGCTGCCATATTAAAGTTACAGGTAGGGCCAACAAGATAGCTCAACGGGTAAAGGCACCCTGTATGTAAGCCGGGTGACCTAAGGAACCCATGCATGGGTGGAGAGAGTTGACATTACAAAACTGTCCTCAGATTTCCACACATGTACCATGGCACACCTAGTCACACATATACATCATATACAAACAATACTTTTCTAGCCACAAGTAGAATTATTTTGAATAAGCTGTTTTGTTTAATTAAACATATACAATATTATCATCTCACTATGTAACCAAAATGAAAACATCAAGGCATTTTGCCTTCTCTTTTCATATGGCACCGAACCCCGTGGTTCTTGTGAATGACAGCACACCTTACTTTGGTCTCATCACATTTCAAGAACTCCACAGTCACTTTTGGCTTCTGAACTGAATAGGCCAAGAGTATCGCTTTCCTTGGATTATCAGAAGCAGGCAGCATACGCCCTCTCCCTTCTCACTCCGTTCCCTCACCGGTTCACAGGCAGACGGGAGCACACCCTGAGACAGGCCAACCAGCATGAATACCCCTCTTCCCTATTTCAAAAGATGTTTATTTACTTACTTACTTATTGGGTAAGTCAAAGGTATGTACATCTTACATGTGACAGCCAGAGGACAAGTTGGAGAAGTCAGTTCTCTCTTCCA